AGGAGCTAGGAGGGCATGTGACGGGGCAGAGCTTGGAGGGCATGTGATGGGGAGGAGCTAGGAGGGCATGTGACGGGGCAGAACTAGGAGGGCATGTGACGGGGTGGAGCTAGGAGGACATGTGATGGGGCGGAGCTAGGAGGGCATGTGACAGGGATGTGGGGTGGAGCTGGAAGAGTGTTGACTGGGAGGAAGGAGTATCTGTCAAGGTCCCTGAGGAAGAAGCACATGAGCTGAGTTGAGGGGCAGGTGGGCGTCGGGGAGATGTGGTGGGGAGAGCAGGCAGGGCATGGAACCTGTCCCACTAGACAATGTGATGGCCATGGAGGCTGGCGCTGAGGACAGGAAGGGGCAGGAGACGAGGCTGGGAAGGACCTAGGGGCACCATCGTGCATTTATCAGAGATCATTCATCAGGAATCTGAGTGCTGTGGCACATGGGGTGGGATTAAGGCATCCAAGCAGGATTTGTGTAGGTCACTGGTTCTTTGAGTCTAACCTCCAAGGAATCAGCCTGGGCTAGACAGATGCATTTGAAAGTCAGTGACCAATGGGTGGGAAGTGATGGTGTGGCCATGGATGGGATGGCTTAGGAGAGGGTACAGGGAGAAGAGAGGGGCGTAGGACCCACCCTGAGAAAGGGAGCAGCAAAGGAGACCCCCATGAAGAGGAACACAGGCATTAGAAGAGGTCTTGGGAGGAGGGTGTTACGGAAGCTGAGAGAACAGGTAAGGAAGGTGAGCAGGGGTGCTGCAGAGGTCAAGGAAGATAGAAAGTGAGCAAACTGGGTGTCCCTGGACGAACACGGAGTGAGAGCTGCCTGCTCAGGACCTCGCAGGCATGTGCCGCCGCCCTCGGGGCAGAGAACCGGGAGGAAGCTCGTGCGGTCTCTTCACCCATCACAGGTCCTCCACTGAAACTGTCAGTGCCGATTTGCAAAGTCTCTAATGTTGGCCTTCATAGGTTTGTACATTTTATGAGAAGGAAGCCAGTTTGAAATATGTATCACAGGGAAGGACCCCTCGCTGGATGAGCTGAGAAGGGGTGGCGCAGTCATTTTGCTGGATTCCAGGAAAAGTGAAGCGTGGCTAGGGCTGCACGAGAGGGCACAGAGCTCCAATTTCCAGCTGAACAATGAGGCTCAGAGGGGCCAAGTAACTTGCCTAAGAGGCACAGCTCGGGACTGGAAGGGGGACCGTCTGCCTCCAAAGAGGTGCTTACAAGTCTGGAAAGCCTCCCTGGGGGACAAGTCTTGTGTCCCGGGGGAGAGCTTGGACACTCAGATCATAGAGTTGAAAGTCAGAAGTCAATTTACAGGAGGTGTCTTCCTACTTCTGGGTCTTACAGAGGGAGAAGCACCGTGCCTGAGCTGACGAGGGGGCCACAGCTGGGCAGGAAGGAAGCCCAGGTCCCCGCCAAACACAGAACTCCCCACCAGGCTCATTTAAAACTACAGACCCACATAGAGCACAGGGAACTAGATTCAATATCGTGCAATAACCTATAACGGAAAAGAATCTGAAAAAGAATACATATATATGTATAACTGGATCACTTTGCTGTACATCTGAAAGTAACACAACATTGCAAATTAACTATACTTCAATAATTAAAAAGAACTACGGACCTACAAACCATTCATTTCTAAAACGCCATCTGAAGAATCTGGGCCCAGAGACAGAGCCCGGCATCTGTATGGTGTTTAACTCCTCAAAGCCGGTCCTCTCCTTAACTAAGAAAGAAAACCCAAGCCAAGAGAGCTGGCTGAGATGAACCTGGCAGAGGGAGAGAACGCGCACGTCTCTGGTCCACACACCATGAGACAGACAGCTCCCACCCTCGCTGAGCTTTCCCTGCTGCAGACAAACATCCTCTCCAGGCCTCTCCCTCCTGATGGAGGCATGAAATCAGCGGATAATTTTAGACCAGGCAGACAAATTTTGTACTCTCATTCCTTCTCGTGCTTTAATTACAGTCAGGCACTGCGGAACACGTGCTGTGCTGACCTCAGGGGTGCTAGCGCCCCTCTGCCACAGTCCTGCTGGTCCCCGCCAAAGTCACGGACTCTGCAGAGACCCAGGCTGGTCACGGGCTTGTTGGAGTCACACGCTGATGTTGCCAGAACGTCCTTGGGACGGCTGTAAAACACTCCTAGCTCAGAATAGCAAATCTGAGGGTGCTCATGTTAATTTCACTGAGGCCAGTTTTACTCTGAAGAAGGCAGCATATTGCCCTGCATTTCCAGCAGTCTGGTTTTCAGCCAGTTTTCTAAATTTAAAGCACTAAGAATGTGACCTGCCAGTTTTTTCTGATTCAGCAGATATTAGACACGCAGTGGACAAAAAAGGCAGTCCGCTGCTCCCTTGACCTTTCAGCTCACAAAGGACCTCGGTGTTGTTTCTTCCTGCTTTTTCCCGTCTGCATTCTTTTGACTTGCCTGCTGTTCTTCCGTCAGCACATTCAGACTTTTCAAGTTTGGGTCCAGGACAAGCAAAACCCTGCTCTTCCTTCCCCTGTCCTGCTGTCACCTGTAACAGAGCAACTGCTGTGCATCTCCTATCCATCATTCTTTGGATTTGGCCAGCCCGGTGGAGTTGTGGGACTGTCAGCCCCAACTGGGGTCACTGCCAATAGAAAGACTTTGTGTAGGAAACGCTCATTTTTGGTCACTTTGCCAGAGTGGCCCTGCATGAACAGATGCTTACGAAGACACCCACGAAGTCGAGAGAAACGTTTATCTTGTGTTGAGACAAACAGTAGTAGCACTGTGGTTTGGACATGAAATAGAAGCTCTTCTTGACCGAGCACATGGTGCCGGGCTTTTGCGCCCGACCCTCCTCACAGTCCCACGACAAGAACACGGAGACGCTCAAGGGGCACAAGAGCCCTCTCCCGGCACTCAGCTAGTAAGTGGCAGAAGCTATAGATGAAATTCAATTCCATCTGCCCTTTAAGGCTGCGGTCCTCCCACTTAATGCCCTGTGGTCTATCCTGTTGCCTTGAACTAACTGGAAAGTTGGGGTCACATTGGGAATACTGTTAACCAGGCCCTCAAAAGGCATGTTGTCCTTGACCATGATTTTAAGTGTATTTCAAAGCATGGCCATAAAAGAATTATTACATTGGTGGATTACCCTTTGTCTTCTGTGAATCTCATTCTTTTACAGAAGTAGGAATTACAATCCCAGCATAGCTCGGATGAAGGCCAAAAAAGGAGTACAATTTTTGGTTTGTTTTAAAGGTTACAAACATATTCCTGGTTTACTACTTACTTTACTATAGTATATTACCAAGTGGTTCTTTTCCCCCTGAGATTAAAAAAGTACTATGCTAACTACGATGTTATTTGAAATACTAAAAAGCTCTACACCTTCAGATCCAAGTCCTCTGAGGTTAAAGTGAAGGAATTATTTGCTGGTTAATATCAAAGAGTAAGACTGTGAACTTAATAAGTAATCATTAAAATAAAACCACCTCAAAATCCTCAGACGGAGACTGTTAGACTACGTGGTGGTATTCCCCAGTATGCGGTCATGACCTGGTGTGACCTCTGAGATCCATCCTGAGGACTCACCAGAGACGTGCGGGCCACTGCCTCGACCACGGCATCAAACACCTTCTGGGGCAGGCGCAGCAGTGTGGTGCCACTGTCCACGATGGCCTTGTCCGCGTTATACTAGAACGGGGAGAGGGGGTGGGGAGAAGGCACATGAGCGACAGGGCACCCACCGTCACCGTGGATCTGTGATACACACATTCGGCAGTCACGGTACCTCCTTGGTGGCTACAATTCATTTCATCTTCTCAGAACTTGGGAAGTTCCTTGCCCAATGTTCTCATTATAGATAAAGAAACCGAGGCCAGGAAAGGGCAGTGACATTGACCGAAATCAGTGTGGCCAGATTCCGTCAGGGATCCTCCAAAGAGGGAAGACCCATTTGTCTTCAGAGGTTGAAATGATACATTAAATGTCATTTATACAAATCATGAAAACTCAACTCTCTATTACCCTGCTAGTGGAGAAGGAGGGGGGAGGACAGTTTTTCCATAGATATCCCATATTTGCATTTAGAATGGAACCAAAGCCACCTTCAGCAAGAGAATCTCACACACACAGAGGCATTCCCAGCCCTGACCCCGCCTCTGTCATTCTTTATGTGGCCGAGTGGGAAGAATGGAGGTCAGTGGGCCAAGACCAGAGTAGTCACCCAACCTCTAGGGACATAACTGTATGAGCAAGGCTGCCCAGGAATGGAATGCGTCGTGGGCAATGTAATCCTCCTGCTTCTACGGCAAATCCATGAGCCGTATGACCAAATACACCAAGCAGGTCAAAAGGAAATAAGGATTTGTTTAGGTAGCAGGTGGGAGGAGTGAAGAATTTTGAGAAATTGAAATACAGCAACTGACTCATAGTTTTTCAAATGTAAAACGAATTTCAGTTTAGAAACAAAGTTAATTGAAATATAATCTAGTTTGTTCGCGCTTGTATGTGTAAGAAAAGCTCGCACACTGAAATGCTGGGCGGTGGGACGTTCTGGGTTTTGTTGTTTGCTCTATGTGGCAAGCTTGGCTGACTGTGGGGGGCAGAAAAGAACCAGGCATATGAGAATCAAACCTCCAAATAAATGCTTACACTCTCCAACACACACTCACACACAAACACATACACACACGCACACACACACGCGCGGAGTCGGTGCTTTCTTTTAGGCCCTCCCACCTGATTCTATCACTGGACTCTTCAATGGCAAGTAAATGCCTCTTGACAATAAACAGATTTGTGGACTTAGGACTGAAACACCACCCCAATGGAACGCACCATCCCTTTATCAAGCTTTGACTTGTTTTTTCAGAGGCATCTGTGTATATGAGAACTTACGGTACAACGTGATGGTTAAACTGAAAGGCAGTGATGACAGGTAAGAGTGCAAGGAATGCTGATGAAATGCTGGTGGTTTTTGTAAACCATTCTGAAAATATTGTAGAGGACCAGGTCTCCCTCAGATCCTCATAATCACGTCATCATGTACCACAAACAAGCCAAACTGCAGCGAGAGGGTGTGAACGAGGTTAACGAGAGATGTGGTTTCCCAGCTCTGCACGTGTGCCTCCTTCGAGCACCATCAAAAGCCATGCACATCTTTAGAGCACATGTTTCTTCGAGTGAGAACTGTATACTGGGGGGGAAGGGGGGTTAGCTGTGAATGGAGGATAAAGCTGATTTACTTTTGGTTTCATTTTGCTTATCTTTTAGTCCCACTTTACACTGATAAAACCCTGCTTACTGCTCGTTGTCCTGAACCGAGATCAGGGACCATCAGGCCAAGATGATATGGTTCTGGACAGTTCTCTTCACTCACCATTTCAGGCTAATTCCTCTCTATTAAGAGAAGCAGTTGAAAGGAAGCAATGTTTTTTGGGGGGGATCACTGGTATAAAATCATCTACAAAAAGGCCCTGTAACTTTTAACGTCATGAACTTTTGATTTATCTCACAATGTAATGTACCCTCTGAGTTCACATTCAGGTCCCAGCTGTAATATTTAAGTGACCCAGGCACACACAGACAGGTAGACACAGTGCGGAAATACCTCTCTGCAGTCCAGGTTAAGGCTCTGACCTCCGATTTCCAATTTCAGAATTTCTATCTGGTAATACCACTCCTCCTTAATAGGGGTATACCAGATGTCTCCTTTGTACAAGGTTGGTTCAATTCCACCCAGGACCTGGGATGGAAGATATTTACAGGTGTAAGAGAAAAAAATATACAGGCATGTAACAAGTTACACAGAGAAGCATGTTGTTATAAGGCAAAACTTCACTAGAATTAGTACTTTCAAGTTATTGGGATGTTATAAATAAATACATACACCTGAAAATTAAACAGGGAACATTCTGGGGCCATGTGTCCAAAGCTCAAAGACTTTTGTACCCTAGTCTAATCAGGATGCTTTGATGGTTTCCCTCATCTAAAGTTAGTACATACAGTTCCAGCTCCATGATACTGAGATCCCCACCCCTCCGGCCCCCGACCCCAGCCACTGGCAAAGAAATGCAATAAAATTGTAAACCATACAGACTGACAAAAATTTAGTTCCTCAGAAGACAGAGGATGACTTCCCGCCCCGCACATTTGCATGGAAAGCAGAACAAAAGAGCTTCCCTAACCCAAACTTCATTTGCACATCTGTATAGCATCATCCCACAAATCCAGGCTACCCGCTCCCCTGAAGAGGTGATAAAAAAGGTGCTGAGAGCAGGTGTATTGTTAGCAATCAAAGTAGATGAGCCTGCTTCTCATAGCTGGAGAGCAAAGGGGTCAACATCACCCACCCTGAGGGGGCCCCTTCATGGACATTCTCCCCATCACCTCCTACTTTAGATGTCTGGGTGCAGGGCCCATCAAAGGGACACTTGGGTTATGGCATGTTCACAGTGTTGATTCTGCTTCACTATGTGTGTGCTGTGTACGTAAGTGGGTGTATGTAAGTATGTATGTGTATGTTTGTATAGCTGTGTATGTGTGTTCATGTGTGTATATGTATGTGTATATGTGTGGGGCTGTGTGCGTGTGTGCGTGTATTCAGAGCGAGAGAAAGGATGTACAGTTTTCCCCATCTCCCCACCAAATTTATGAAATCAGTCCTCTCCCGTTGATTCCCCTCCCCAGAGTAAGGCCCACCTGCCACCCCACCCCACTGGTCCTCATGTGCCCCTACCACACCCAATCAGAACAGTTACCTTCCAAACAAACATTTTTTTTTAAAAAGCTTTAAAGGAATCTTACTAACTCAACAGTGCAAGACAACTATACCCCAATTGGAAAAAAAAAAAAAAAAGGTATGGGAATAAAAAAAAATAAAGGAATTTGGGGAAGCAATGAGAATCATCTTATGAGCTGGCAGGATGATTAGGAAAGATAAAAATAAGAGCTAGTTTCATCCATTTTTAAGGGCTCTCAAACAAGGATTATTCATATCAGACAGTACCTATGTATGCCTACATGTCTAATATTTCTATCAGGGTCTTAATAAAGCAGAAAGAGCAGCCCCACTGATCTCTGATGTTCCCCCTTTAAAATGAAAAGATACCCACAAGACTACCTCCGTTGGTACCAGATCCAGCGACTGGCAATCCAGCCCCACACATCTGCATGGAGAAAACATTGGGGATCTTCGCTTGTGCCACGAGGGAATCAAAGAATGTCTCCAGAGAACTTGATGGCTGCGGGAGGGTTGGGAAAGAGCACAGCTGCTTCAGGACTCGCAGTGTAGACAAGGAGTGACCCCACGCAGGCACCAGGCATGGTATACAACATGGCATTTCCTTATATTTAATATTTTCAAGGCTAAGGAATAAACGAGCTTATGATTAAGTACACTGATTCAGAAACCTCCAACAGAACTCCCTAAGACTTGGTATTTTTCCTTTTGGGATGGCGGCTCTGTTGGAAAAATAAGATAGTATTTCCGGAAGCTGTTAAGAGGCTGCCCCATTTACCATCCTGACTGCCTTGTGAGGCAGGCGTGAGAAGATGTGGAAGTGGGTTACCCAGGTAGGTGGTGGATTCTAATCTTAGACAGTTCAGAGTAAGGAGAGAACAGTGTCTCCACGAGCTGCCTTTACAGCTTCAGAAAAAGTTTTTATTCACCCGTTTCAGCTGTAGTCGTCCATCATGCAAATGACAGGTGCCTGAATCATGAGGACAGGTCACATCCCAGATCCCGGACCCTGGGAGGTGGCTTAGCTCTGCCGGCTGTCTACTGAACTCTGGCAACCGGGAAAGGAACGATTCTATTCTCCTGCAGTTTAAAAGCTCGTTATTCCCCATTGCCGTATGTCAATAATGTCCTCTGTGCTTCTGTTACATGTAACCACACCTTCAGAGACCAGCTGTATTTCTCCAGGACTGAAAAGGAGGGATGGTCTGTGAGCAGGTCTTAGCTGGGGGTGGGTCACAGGTGCTGGTGGTCAGGAAGGAAGGTCATAGACCTATGTTTCGATTTTGGCTTTGACAACTGGGAGAGAGATTAGAGTTGGTTACTACGAATGGTTAGTTCTTGATGAAAACAACTGTAGCAGCAAAGATGCTCTTGGCATCTTCTGAGCATCTACGGTTCATATAAGGAAGGATTCTTTATAATCTGTAAAAACTGAAACTCTAATTCTAGAGGGAGTGAGAGGAGTGTTACCGGACAGACAGAAACCTTCCCATTTCTTTAGTTCCTTTGTGTTTGGCCTCCTGTCTGCCTCTTTCCCAGCCGCTGTGGACTCTCTTGCAGAATTCAGTACCATCTCTACATGTAACCTTGTCTAAATACTTTGTGTTTGGGTCAAGGAATGAGACAAAGCCCCCTTTTGAAACGGGCTGGGTCTGGTGATGACCCAGTCAGCGTCCACCTTCTTGAGAGGCAATGAGATAAAACACTGCCCGGAATTGAATCCTGGCTCCACCGCCCACCTGCTAACCGTGTGACTTGTCCCTTTGTTTCCTTATCTGTAAAATGGGGATCATAGTCGCATCCCAGGGCCTTCTGGGGCTTAAATGGGTCAGTTCACACAGAGTGCTTGGAATGGTGCCTGGCACACGGGATAGGATCTATTATTATTCTGTCAGGTCATTCTTCAGTAGGACTCGGGATCCTTTAAGGTTTAAAAGCACACAGCTGCCCAGGACCAGCCCAAGAGAACCTGATTCAGCAGGGATGCTGCTGGATGCGGGCAACTGTAGTGGGAGAGACCCCACAGGTGGTTCTGACCACATCCTCGATGAGAAGCACCTGGCATCGGCCGGGGGCCACCACACACTGTGACCCCACTGGGTGCTCGGGGAACCTATTTCAGAAACACCTTTGGGCCGCCAACCCAGACCGCCCTGCCAGTCCTGTTTCTAGCCGTGCTCCACTTCCTACAAATCCTGTTACTGTCTCCCCAAACCTAGGGAAGTGAAGACAATTGTTGGCAATCTTGGAATTTCATAGGTGAAAAGATAAAAAGTCATGTGGGGAGTCTGGACACCCAAAAGAACCCCCAAACAGTCTATTCTCAAGGAAGTTAGACATATTATTAATTCCAGATAATTTAGCTTTATGCTACCATCCTCTAAATAACCAGCATCAAATCGATCATACATCTTTTATTTTCAGAGTCACAAGAAGATGAAACATTTTGCCTGAGGTCACGTCGTCTGTGAAAAGTATTGAGGAATATAAGTTGCTACAAGTTTGGGAACTCATGTTAAGCATTTCCTACAGTGCTGAGCTAAAAAAACGGCTCCAGAAGCCATCTGGGCTCCGTAGAGGGGGCTCTGTGCTCTGACAGCCCTAGGCAAGGGGTAAACCTCTCTGACCCTCAGTCCACACATCTCTAAAATGGGGTAACAGGGGCCTACAAAGTCTGCCTTGTGGGGAGGTCTCAGACACCTTGCAATGGTCTCAGTAGGGCTTCACGGGCTATTTTTTGTCCTTGAGAAGCCGCAGTGTTGGGAAACGGCCCCTGCCTACTGGCCCATCTCCACCCCCTCACATCGCTGCCCTGCGTCGCTTGCTTGTAAACCTGAGCTGGAACAAATGTCCTTATGGAGAGAAAACAGGCCTTTCTGCACCCACGATTCTTTGTTCCACACTTAGCTCCTGCTCGAAGCCTAACTCTGAACGAGGAGGGGCCGCGCCGGGGTGCCCGTTTACAGGCCAGGAGGAGCAACCTCTCCTCAAGTGTACGCTAACCTGCCCTGGTCTCCCGGAGCCCCGGGGACGCACGGGTGTCGGATCCGCCTGCCCCTGGCATCCCTTCCGGGTGGACATTTCCCAGCCCACCTCACCCATCCTGCTCATGAACACACTTCCTCTGGGTGGGATCAAGGACAGATAACTGGAGAACATTCAATCCTGGCTTTCCCTGTTTTGTGAAGGTTCTGACGCTGAAGAGAGCGAGGGTCCCACCATCTCTCCTCACTGCATCGCTAATTCCAGTGGCTGGCGATCCCCAGGGCGCGCTTGCAGGCTGTCTGTGCTCCCACTACAGAGTGAGGGGAAGGCAGCACGATGCTCTCTCTGCCTGGTGGGACACCTCTTCCTGCCGAGGTTCCAGTGTCACGTCTTTATGTGAATGTATGAATTTAATAAATGTGCTTACTCTTAATCCTGCCCAAATAAAACCCCCTAAACAAACACCATGATCTAACGGATTCAGCTTCTGTTAACACCTGTCAACTATACAAGTAAAATAAACGAAAGGCAAATGTAAAAAGTGATGCTATGACTGTACCTTGTAGGAAGGTTCAAAGAATGTCACCATTCATCTTAGATTTTAAAAATGCTTAGAGATAACCTTAATTGTGCGAACACTGATCTTTCAACCGTGTGATTCTCACTGACTGTCTCGGACAGCTGGACCCAACTGTTGGCCCCTCCAATGTCTGGCTTCAGAATCTTGTCCCATCACTTGATTTCCTTAGATCCACCCATGATTCTTACCTTGGCCAGGGTAGCATAAGCCAGTCCAAGTATCCCATTCCATTTAATCCCAGGCAAAAAGAAATTCTCTGACTCAAAGATGGTGGCAATGTTGACCAGAAAAGAACTGTTGAAGCCTTTTGGGATGGTGACAACGTCCTCCCCAACGAAGCCAGTCCAACTCCCTTGCGTGTACTTCACGGTGACATCAAAGCCCTTGGGGCGGTAGGTGCTGGACCTGGAAAAGGAGAAGAGGCAGCGTGTCCTGTATCCCGTCCACCTGTCCCTGTTCTGACCACATGGCGATCATGGCTGCAAAGACAGCGGCCCTACGCCCAGAAGGTCTGCGTAAGCAATTCTTCATAATTAAGACTCCTCACGCTGACAAGATGACGTTTCCCATAAAAAATAATCGCTAACATTTGGGTAATGGCGTCTTCTGCACCACGCGTAAGGGAGCGCTGGGGTCAACGTGTAGCCCCGAATTTAATTCTTCCCTCCGCCCGAGTCCTGCCCCGTAAGCCAGGTGTTGTACTTAAGTGCATTGGCCTGGGACACCGCAACTGGATGTGGGCTGCCTGGCCCTCTGGCTCTGCGGGAACCCTGCACTGCTACTCTGTGACAAAGGGAGGGGCTGGCAGCCCAGAAAGAGGGGCCACCAGCTTGTGGCCTGGGGTTCAGATTCACACAAACAGCCAACGGGATGAATAAAGATCAAGCCACACCCCCCCAGTACCAGGGCTGTCCCTCCTCAGGGCCCGCACGACCTCCTGGTGTCACAGGTTCCTTCTCAAGGTCGTCCCTGTGCCCCAAGCTGATTATACTCATATCAAAACATGAAGGAGGATGCTGATGACAAGTCACTGTGACAACCCCACAACCCCTAAGGGTAAGAGTTACTGAAACAGAATAACATGAACAAGACGGGACAATGGGTGTGTGGGGGGGGAGATGGAAATCCTGCTCTCGGGATTTCAGAGACAGGCAGTAAACAAATGAACCCCTAGAACTCCAGGCGATGATAGAGTGATGAGTCACCCAGAGAAGAGAGCAGGGTGAGGGGAGGGTGGTCACTGAGGCCTCTCTGAAAGAGGACATTTGGGTAAGACCTGCCTGAAGACAACAAGCTATGGGGCTATCTGGGGAGGGGCAGCCTGGAGAGAGAACAGTAGGTGTCAAGGTCCTGGGGTGTCCAATCCTGTGAGGTCATTCTTACACCTAATTGAGCTTGAAAACTCTGTTGACTAGAGGCAGGAACCCAAGGGGCATCTCTGAGCAAATATCTGGGCATTCAAACCAGGCTTCCCCTAGGAAAATGATCAGATTCCTAAGAGAAGTGTCAAATCAGCAAATCTATCCTTGTAAAGTGTTCCTGTTTGTCTGCAGTTTTCATTTCATTTTGTTTTAATACGAAATCTCTGAACATTAATACATGTTACTAAGTGTTTGCTACAGGAGTATATGAATTTGCTGTATGGATTATATGGTCTTTTTGGGAGTCAGGGAGAAAGTTAAGTCAGGGATGATATGACTTTTTTTCGATACATCTCATAAGCTTTAAAAATGGTAACAGTCTTTAATTCAGTAATTGTACTTCTGAGAATCTGATCCTAAGAAAAACACCCATGACGCAAACAGAGATTCATGAACAAAGACAGTCATTATGTTTTACTTATAACAGCAAACAGTTGGAAACAACCTAAATGCACAGTAAAAAGGAAATAGTTTAGTAAATTATGGTACATCCATATGATGTACCTGAAAAATGCTGTTGAGTAAGACAATGACAATGACACAGTAAAAAAATAAGGTAAAAGAAACATTTGTATATGTGGCAGAATCTTCTTCAAAAAATTTAATACATTCCGACATTAGCAGTGCTACCTCTGGGTGGTGGGGTTTTGTAGGGGAAACTCTCATTCTTGTGGTTAGATCCTTCCATATTTTCTGCATATATAACTTTTTATAATCAGGGAAAATAGGTTATTTTTAAAATGTCTGGCAGACACATTTTGGAGAAACTTAATTTATTCTAACTTCATAATGGGATATGAAATATGAAGAATATTTAATCTTAACATTTTCTGACTACTTTAGCTAACTCCACCATGATCTTAAAAAGAGAGCAGCATTAAGTGAACATTTTACGTCCAGACGTCTTCTGACAAGGGCAGGCACAGACCGAAAAGTAAGTGGGGATGCACCCCGGGCACATGGAGCTCTAAGGGACCCATCAGAAGTTATACATATAAAGCGCGTAGCAGGTCATTGAAATGCAGGCACTTGAGGGTTGGTGTTTTAGTGCCAAGTTTTAGTGCCAACATCAATTCAGTGACGATGCCTGGCACACAGCAGGGACTGCACACGTTTAGGATGAAAAGCAATTAAAATACTAAATTGTCAGTCCCTTTTGACAATTTGGGGTCATTCCATAAGTTTAAAACTGCACTACTGCTGGGGGTATAGATCAGTGGTAGAGCATTTGACTGCAAAACACTACGGCTAATGGAAGAGGCTAATTATTTTGAAAGGCTTAGAGAATGTAATCTAGCACAGGGTTGGCAAACTTTTTCTGTAAAGGGCCAGAAAACAAATCTTTCAGGTTTTGCGGGTCACATGATTTCTGTTACTACTCCACTCTGCTAGTGAAGAAGCAGCCACAGACGACAGATAAACAAACGTGTGTCTGTGTTCCACTAAAACTTTATTTACAAAAACAGGCAGCAGGTTGGATGTGGCCTGTCAGCCCTAGTTTGCCAACTCCTGATCTAGAAGATTATTATCTCCCCAAATATTCTATAGTACCATGACTTCCTTTGGAGAAGTTTTTTTTTTTTATTTTTACTCTGTCCAGACTACAGAAAACTCATTAGAATCTGCCAGTTACTGATAAGATGGACCAGGCTGACCAGCTAAGTAGCACGTCCTCTGCAGTGTACTGACCAGCTTGCTATTTCCCTCATGGGCGAACATTCTGGATGTTTCGGTGCCATTTACAGAGAGACGAGAGGCAGCTGGAGTTACACTGCCTGCAGGCAAATAGTACTTCAACCACTTAGGAGCCATGTGTGACCTTAAGTCAAGTTAATTAACTCTCTGGACCTCGGTTTCCTCAACTAAAAAGTCGGGACAAGTACAGTACCATACCTCATGGGGTTAATATTAAGAGAGTTAATACTGTAAACCATTTAGAACAAAACCCTGGAACACAGCAGGTACACAACAAACACAGCTGCTATTATTATAATTATCTAATCACTTGCTACCTTTATTCAATCTATGGACTGCTATTAGAAAACGTAAGATATTTTTTCTAGAAAATGTTCCTATAGAGATACTCTTTCTGAATATCCCAAACTGTCTCATTCTGAAGTCCAACAACCTCCAGGAAAAGAGGCAAGTCTTGGGTAAGATTTGGTTAAAACGATCCAGGGAGGGGAGGAACCTTCTAGGTTTCTAAAAGATGGAGCTCTTCTGTGCTCTGGACCAGGGCTGTCCAATAGAACGTCTGCAATGACAGAAATATTCTCTACCTATGCTTCCAATACAGTAGCCACAGGTGGCTACAGAGCACCTGAAATGTGACTGTCGATCTTCCTCAACATACGATGGGGTTACATCCTGATAAACCCTTGTAAGTTGAAATTATCATTAAGTTGAAAATGCATTTGATATACCTAACCTACTGAACACCCTAGCTTAGCCTAGCCTACCTTAGCCATGCTCAGAACACTTATATTAGCCTACAGTTGGGCAAAACCATCCAACACAAAGCCTATTTTATAATAAAATATTGAATATCTCCTGTAAGTTATAGAATATTATACTGAAAGTGAAAAACAGAGTGGTTGTCTGCGTCCAGCATGGTTATCAGTGTGTAGCTCTTCACCCTCATGGCTGTGCGGCTGACAGGGAGCTATGGCTGCCGCTGCCCAGCATCACAAGAGAGGATCGTCCAGCATATTGCTAGCTTGGGAGAAGATCAAAATTCAGAATTCAAAGTACAGTTTCTACTGAACGTGCATTGCTTTTGCACCATGGTCAAGGTGAAAAATCATCAGTCAAACCATCATAAGTCCGGGACCGTCTGGACAGTTTGACTAAAGAATGACTCTTTATTTAACATTAATTAATTTTAGCCACAAGTACCTTCAAGATGGTGAAGGAGTAAGACGTGGAGATGCCCTTCCTCCCCACAGATACATCAGAACTACATCTACATGTGGAACAGCTCCTACAGAACACCTACTGAACGCGGGCAGAAGACCTCAGACCTCCCAAAAGGCAAGAAACTCCCCACGTACCTGGGTAGGGCAAAAGAAAAAGAAAAAACAGAGACAAAAGGATAGGGATGGGACCTGCACCAGTGGGAGGGAGCCGTGAAGGAGGAAAGGTTTCCACACACTAGGAGCCCCTTCGTGGGCGGAGACTGCGGGTGGTGGAGGGGGGAGCTTCGGAGCCACGGAGGAGAGCGCAGCCAAAAGGTAGCGGAGGGCAAAGCGGGGAGATTCCCGCACAGAAGATCGGTGCCGACTGGCACTCACCAGCCCGAGAGGCTTGTCTGTTCACCCACGGGGCGGGCGGGGCTGGGAGCTGAGGCTCGGGCTTCAGTCGGATCGCGGGGAGACGACTGGGGTTGGCGGCGTGAACACAGCCTGAAGGGGGCCAGTGCGCCACAGCTAGTTGGGAGGGAGTCCGGGGAAAAGTCTGGAACTGCCGAAGAGGCAAGAGACGTTTTCTTGCCTCTTTGTTTCCTGGTGCGCGAGGAGAGGGGATTAAGAGCGCTGCTTAAAGGAGCTGCAGAGCCGGGCGTGAGCCGCAGCTAACAGCGCGGACCCCAGAGACAGGCATGAGATGCTAAGGCTGCTGCTGCCGCCACCAAGAAGCCTGTGTGCGAGGACAGGTCACTCTCCACACCTCCCCTCCTGGGAGCCTGTGCAGCCCACCACTAACAGGGTCCCGGGATCCAGGGACAACTTCCCCGGGAGAACGCACAGCGTGCCTCAGGCTGGTGCAACGTCACACCGGCCTCTGCCGCTGCAGGATCGCCCCGCATCTGCACCCCTCCCTCCCCCCGGCCTGAGTGAGCCAGAGCCCCCGAATCAGCGGCTCCTTTAACCCCGTCCTGTCTGAGCGAAGAACAGACGCACTCCAGCGACCTACACGCAGAGGCGGGGCCAAATCCAAAGCTGAGCCCCGGGAGCTGTGCGAACAAAGAAGAGAAAGGGAAATCTCTCC